CGGGAGGAAAAGGAAAGGGTGGGGGGGAAGGTGTCGGTTTTAAGATCTGGTTTTGTTTCTTTCTGTCCTCTCGAGTAATCGGTTTTTGTTTCCCTTTGTCCTTCTAAGTAATCATTAATAAACTGTTTTGCTTTGAGAAAAGCTCTGTCTGTTTTGCCCAGGACCATGGTTGGTGGGTGCTCCCTCTGTTCTTGTCTCAACCCTCAGTCCCTTTGGTCTTCTTCTCTCCTCTCTACTTTACTGGAGAAGGAGAGACTGTGTGAGTTTTAGTTGCTGGATCAGCCTAAAACCACGACACGGGTGAAAAAATAAATCAGCCTATGTCTGACTGGAACAGTTTCAAGGCTCATCCTGAGGATCCTCTGACAGCTGAACTGTTAAAAAAACACCTACGCAATAAAGAACAGCAGCACCTTTATTTCAGTCAGCACGTTGTCCTTGACCTCTCCCCCAAGATGGGCCAGCTTTGTGCTGCTTCCGTAGCAGCACTTCACCACGAGTTCATTCAGGCAACAGGGAATTCTCTCTGCCTAGGACAACCCAAAGGTCAGAAGCATTTCTAGAACTGTGCTCTTAGGGCTTTTACGCTCCCTGTTCTGCTCACAGCTCTGGGGCAAAAGCCAGAGAGAAAAAAAACACCATAGCAAGGACTTCCTTCTATATATCTACGTATCTATCTGTTGAAATGGTGTTTTAGGTCACTGACAGATCGGCACAGATCAGGGCAGCCTTTCTGCTTGTCCAATTTGTGCATCTGACTTAAATGTAGCCGAGATATCAAATGGCTTAGACCCACCTTAGCCCTGCCCTCATCTGGACAACTTGCAAATAGAAAGTGATCTGCAGCAATATATAGGTTTTTAAAAAATAAATCAAGACTCCTAGTTAAAAAAAAAAAAGGGAGGTGTGTGAATTTTTGAGAATTGATTCATTTCAGCACTGCTTTCAAGTTCAATGTTATACCACCTAAGACTTTGGATTTGTGTGAAAAATGTGTGCCTAATCAAGTATACAAATTTTTAACCATCTACTGTTATTCAAGTATTCTTTTACCTGCTTTGTTTATTCCATGAAAGATCAAGCACAGCATCAGTATGTTCCTTCACTGTACCTTCTGATGATAAACTCTGTGTATGCAGACACAACATGCTTTTGAAAATTACAGCTTCAACAGAAATCAAGCATTACAAAATATCAGTACAAACTCCTTAATGCCTTCACAAACAACTTCATATTTTAAACTGTTCTCACTTGCTGCAACAAGGCTTGTGACAGAACTGTCTCTGCAGTACTTGCACCTCACCCCCTACCGCAGATTTCAGATTGCTTCATTCGCAGCTGGTGGGCTTACAGAACTGGTTACTCCCTTCAGGCTAGTAGAAGAAATTTCATTGTCTTCAGCTAATGTTCAGCTTCTTCAGCTTCTAAACACTCCTGGCAGTTCCCTCTCCCTTCTCCCAGTTAACTGAGCTTTAAGTCCTTGTAACTGCCAGCTCCCACAAATTGTATTTTGAAATGGTTAAGCTTCAAAGTTTACTGGGACAGCAACTGGAAACCACCCATACATACCCCATTCCTCTTCTGTTCTTAACTCCAGGCTTTAATTATCCATACAGAGAAGAACTAGCATTTCAAATTGAGGTAACATTTATGAATGGTATTTTCAAACGTAATTCTGGTAATTCAGTGATTTTTCAGAACCAAGTTTCACAGAACAAATTCCCCTTCCAAGGATATTTTTTTACTGTTTTTAAAACCAGAAGGTCTGACTGCTCAAGAAGTAACCCCCCTTCACAACTACCCAGAGTGGTTCTTTAGCTGCCTTAACACCTCAGTGCTCTTTCATTTAGGAAACCAAGATTAGCAACATACCCAGGGTTCACCTTCCCTGTTTACTCTAGGGAATCTTTAAGCACCTCCTGAAGCATCTACTATAAGCAAAATCTAGAAGATTTAAGTTACATTACATTATCTTCCGTACTTGTTTTACACACCAAAGAACTTGGACAAATCATAACACCACATTCAGGCATACAATGAGGGCCAGATTCATCCCACATAACTTAGCATCCAGTCTAAACCTCAATCTTCCTCTTTGGTAGTTAAGGTTTTCTCTGCAGTCCACTAAAAGAAACTCAGCCATTCTCTTGGGGGGGGGGTCTCTATGCATTCACCTTAGAAAAATCTCGATGACTATCTTAAAATATACTGGAATTTTAGACAGATAAAGCTAACAGAGGTGAATCCTGAGTAAATGTATTTTATTAGTGTCAACTTTGTCCTTTACTGCTTAATGCCTTTTCAACTCTCTGAGATACAGGAAAATACTAATTTTAACCGATATATCACAGATGACCTTAACCTTACCTTCTTTAACCTGTCTAAACACCATCTTTCAACATGACAGACAGAATTAAACCAGATTATCTATGATTTTTCCAGTGTATGAAAAAAGTAGTAATGATATTATCCTTGCTCTAAGTTTCCTCCATCCAACAGGATAAACCGTTTAGCAATACTTACTTTCTTTCCTTTCTTTTTCTTCTTTTTCTCTTTCTTGCCTCCAAGAGAAAAGACTGGTTCTAAGGATTCTACTATGTCCAGGTCCCAAATGTCAATAACTGGGGTCATGTTACCCACTGCAACATAATTTCCTACAAGCAGAAACCCAAATGCAACCACATTTATTTAGAGTTACAAAACAGCGTATTTGGCAATCCAGCTGTTGCTTATTTCTTCGATTAAGTAAAACTTACATGCCAGATTCTTCTATTTGAACATCTTGAACAGATGACTACAACTGACAAGGAACAATTTAAAAATATCAACTGACAGTAGATGTTGCCAGAAAAAAAATTTACTTGCTCTCCAATACACTTCCCCTTCAGTACAAGTAACTGTTCAAAGAAGCTGTATAAAGTTTTGCTTGGGTTTTTAAGGAAAAAAAACACACCAAAACACATTCCTTGTGCTAAGGAAAAAAAAAAAATAATCTGTAAAACACAGGAATAAGGTTACACATAAATATAAATAATTTTTGCGGTGTTTTACAGTTAATCAACTGCATTGGCCATAATGATTTTGAAGAAAATCCACCTTTCATTTGCAAATGGAAAATAAAGCAGATTAGAGAAGAGCTTGCTCTGGTCTGCTAATTGACAATAACTTAATCATTTGTAATAAAACCAGTATTTTAGTCAAAACACTTGTTATGGCAGCATCACTAAGATGACTGTATCACTAAAGCAAAAACCCCTTATATTCAGTTTTTCCATCTTAGTATCTTAGCTTTATTCCTGTTTGTACCACTGGAGGAAATTATTTAGTGACAACATTACATTTACATACTTTTCAAGCAAAAATTATTTAACTGAACATTTACAGTATTCTTTGTAATTTACCTATTGATTCATCAGGACTAGGATCAAAATTCAACCACTCCAGACTTAGAGGGTAAGCAGGCAAGATAATATCATGATGTACATAAAAGGAGTTCTCTTCGTGATTATAAACTGAAAAAGAAGTACAGATATCTTGTAAGACATCAGTGAAGAGGAAAAGCAAGCAATTATGAACAGCTCACTTCTGCAAAAGGCAGATGTGGCAAACATTAAATTGTTAAAGAGATCCAGAATGTAAATTTACAGTGTGTTCAGAGTTTTAGTATAGAGCCCAGAGCCTCCAAGTACTAATTCCAAGTACAGAATTACAAAACCAAACATACTCCTGTGTACTTCATCTAAAGTGACAAGTTCAGCAAAGCTTAGACACTTTTTTCCTAGCATACTACATTACTCTGCTTGTAAAATCACTTCAATAGATGTTCCATATCCACCACCACCACTTTCTACATCAATCCTGATGTATCTACACTAATGAAAGCTTAGACAATCTTTTTACAGAATCTGCTTTTTTTTTTTTTTTTTAATGTAATTCCAGATGCAATCAAAGGGGAAATGAAAGTAACAGACAAACAGTTTTCAAATTAGAGGAAGCTGAAGAAGTCAGATGTAAGTTACCTTTAGCAAGTTGTAACTGAGATACAGGAAGAGTTTTGGTAAAGCAACCATATACTGAACACAGCATTCCCTTTAGCCAGCTATTTTTCTTCTTATAATAACGGAATTTACTAACTGGATAGCAGATAAAACCCATTAATTATCTTAATAAAATGGTATCGTCATACACACAAAATCACTGTGCTGTTCTTAAGTGCATGTGGCAGATGTTCAGATTCTAACTAAAAGTGTTCAGTTAACTAAGTAGTCTTAGTAATTAACGAAGACAGGGCTCCCAATGTTATAAACAGCAGAAGCCTGTGCTATTGTTTTGGAAGTTTACACAGGGAAAATAACACACTTAATAAAAGTTGTAAAAACCTCCAGTTACAGAAAATGCCAGATGCTTTCAAACACTTTAGTCTTGCAGTTTGCTTTTGCAGACAGAACACTTTGCTTGCAGAAACATGTGCCATAGCAGAAGTAGCCAGAAACAGTCCCCCAAAGAACCACCGTCAAGAAAAGATGGTAACTTCAGCACACTCAGTAGTACTCCTTGCTGCAACAGAAAAATCTTTTACACAGTAAAACTAAACCCATCCCTAGAAGAAATGATATTCAGACCTTATTAAGGATCATCTCTTCTAAAACTAAGATGATAAAGGTGCTGATTCTTCTACTCCTAGCAGTGGAAAGCACATTTAAAGAAGCAAGGAGAAAGCACAGAAAAAAATCCAACAACAAATCACTAAAGGAAGTTTGCATGATATGGAAAGTGAGACTGTTCGGAAGAAAGATCGTGTGTTCAGAGAATAAAAATGCCATAGTATTTTCTAAGTGTCATTAAGAATGAAATAAGGAAAGGAAGTGCTACACAGCCTGATAAAGGCACACTATCCTCTAAATAACAGTAAGCCCACATTAGATGCTCTAGTTCTGGAAAGTGACTAAAGCACCATGATGTAGGAACAAGGGCAAAATACACAAGACAAAGGTGGGGACAAAAAAAACAACTTTGAAAAAACCCCTCCCCCCCTTCTACATAGCCATATGGAACAGAATGGGCAAGACGTATTCCCTAAGTTCACTGTAAGGAACAAATCCTATGTTACTTACCATGGACCTCCAAACTACAGCAGTCTTTATCAGCTCTGCCACAAAGAACAAGATTGTCAGTGGGCTTAATCAAGAAGTCCTCCTGTTCATATTGATCCTGAACAGCAAAAAGGAGAGGACAGCAGGTGTTAAGGAAAGCACACTAACGCACAAAACTACACACGTTCAAGTGGCTGAATCAGTAATAACTTTTAACCATAACTGAGATCCCCGAAAATCCAACACCCTGCTGCCCACCCACCTAAAACCCTCTTGTGGTGGTAAAGTGAAAATGACAGGGACCAGACTCAATCATGGGGAGACTGAACAGTTATTATACAGACTGAAGGACTGTTTATGTGGACCTAGGTGGATTTACAGAGATGTTTAATTACCAGATATGAAACCATCTTTTGAGGCTACCATGATACAGCCCACTGCTGAAAAGAGATTCACCATCAGGAGCTCACATACATAGTTATTTCCCTTGTGTTCCCATGCCTTGAGCGTTTATGTAGTGTAACAACTTTTTACACAATAAGCATATTGTAAGTGCTCCTCACATCCAGGAAGCAATTCCAAAAGCATTAAAGCATTGTCTACTTTCTGGAAAACATTTCCAGAAAAGTACTGCCTACAGCTATACTGGGCATTCAGCTGTACCAGAACAGATGTAACCGCTCATGTAATTTTCATTGTTACTGAGGAATGGAAGGCATTCAGGGAATTTCTGTTAGTGGAAAACTGAGAACTGTACATAAAAGTCAACAGTCTTACACAGAGCATCATGCTTCAAATATCCAACACATACAGCACTTTTTGGACTTCTGTTGCAAGTTTTTAATTTCTTTTTTATTCACTTCAAGCATCTTTTTGATATTAGAATTCTATCAAGTACCACAACTCCTTGCATTTATCAACTTAATGCTGCACAGTACTTAGTCTTCAACAGTACTAGTCATAAATACCAAAAGACAACATAAAAACACACGCTGAAGCACTAAAAAGTATTCTCCTTCAAATGTGAGGAAAGGACTTGAGTGTAGGAAGAAAGGCCTAAGAAAAAGGTGTTTGCTTTTTCTATGTCTGGAAGAAAGCTAGCTTTCTGACACAGAATAATGCACCTCATATTCTCCCTGAATCCCAGTGCGAACATCTCTTTGACTACAAAAATTACTTTTAAAGCAGTTCTCTCTTCTACTGGTACCCAGGAGCAAGAAAAATCATCAACCAGTCAGTGGAACACAGAGAAAACATCTAGAGCCCCAAAGCGCACATAGCAAGTGAACGTGTGTTTGACAAAGTCCTCTGACACACAAATGAGATGTTGTGGTAGAAGCCTACAGCTACTCTCTTCTTTCAATCTTACTAGCTTTGTAAAGACAAAATATATACACATTTTGTATATGTACACAAAATAGTACAGAAAGGACGGCATCCAGAAAAATCTCAGAATCTTTATGCTTAGGAGAGGTCTCAAAAATTCACCTACTTCATCACCCTGCTCCAGATGACCACAGTCTCTCCTGGTTGCTCTCTAGATTACATTGTCTCTTCTCACGCAACCTTGCCTTCTATCCGATTTCTGTAATCTCTCCATGTACATTACGTCAATCACAAGTTGCAGTCTATCCTTCTGAACTAAACTGTGGGATATTCTCTGGAATCTCTCAGTATCTTTTCTGAAGAGGCACCCAATATTCTAGCTAAGGTAATATCAATGTTAAGTAGAATAGAAGGATTACCTCATGTCTTGCATGCTGCATCTCTGTAAGACAAACGTGCTGTGTAACAGGACAGCACTGCTGACACAGTTAGCTTGTGTCAGACTGCAGCTAGAGAATTCTTCACCCCTTGCAGACCTCCTACAAAACCAGGTCCTGCAAAGATGTTCCCCATCTATGATACTTGGTGGAAACTGATGCAGGCAGAAACAGTCAACTAGACAGTATGCTGTGCATTTATGCTTAACAGGGACATACTTCTTCATGCCATACCCCTAATTGGACATGTAGCCAGAGTCCACCTCAGCTTGGATTCTTCCACAAACTGGTATGGAGGGTGTAAGAGTCTTGCAATCTGGGAAGTTTTCTATTTTGGGTCATCAGTGGCCTCATTACTGAGATTTGTTATTTCTTCAAGTATTTTCTGGTTCCTGCTAGATAGCTGACAAACCACATTCACAGACACAAGTACGTGGCTTAAATAATGAGTCAGTTCGCCTTAATATCTGACTTAAACATAAAAAACATGTAGAGGGGACTGCACAAAGCAACCTTAAAAGAAAAGAGTCCAGTCTGATCAAAAATCTGGCACACCTTTGGTCTGCAAGCACTTTACAGATCCTAAGGCAGTGTGGAAAACTTAACTGATTTTTAAGTTTATGCTGTTTAAGATATTTTAACATTTTCATAGTACTTACAGTGGTTTTTAGAGTGATGTAAGGGTCATGGTCATTACTCCCATATACCGCCAGAGTAGCCAAAGAGTCTCCAAGTTTTATATCACCTAGATGGGAATTTCAGAACACTTTTTATACATGTCAGTGAGAGGTGAAGTTAGAAACTCCTGTACCAACATCTGTACTACCTGTATTGCAAAATATCGGGGGTGGGCTAAATGAACTTCCAAGTTCCAAACATAAGAACCTCAGTAAGCTAAATTGCTTAGTGCTTTCAGGGACTTCTGCTCTGCTCCAGCACTACAGCAGAGGGAGTGACAGTCTTTCCAATGCTGCTCTCAGTTCTAGTGTAGGGGAGGGGGGACACTGAATTGCTTCACTCACTAAATGACTTCTGGAACTGGGACAAGCAAATAATAAAAAAAATGTGAATTTCCAGCATTTGAAGTATAGCACTGCGCAGTTTTAGGATACTAATGTCTTAAGTACAAGAAGAAGTGAAAAGGTTCTACATTCCATAGCTGACATTTACATTTTTCTTACCTGTTTGTTCATCATAATTTTCCAAATCATATTCATCCAGTTCATCATCAGACAGGTGTTCATTTTTAGGAGAAGACTCAGGTCTGTCAGGAGTGGCTACACTCGTGCTACATGCCATCTGGTCTTCATCGCTACCATCAGCGTCATCCCTGTTTAAAGACACACAACCCTGACCAAACTGTGCCAGATGTTTAGAATGCTTCCAGGTAACTGCTTAGGGGACTGCTAATAAGATTTCAGCACACAATCCTGGCTGTTCACATGGGTTTCAAGCCTTTAATATGCCAATATTTTGGAAATCCATTTACTCCTTTCCTATCCTTTCCCAAAATACAAGGCACCATTATCCTCAGGCTTCCAGAGAAAGTTTTTCCTTGAAAGTTTTCATGATAAAATGTGACACAAATTTTGCTCATCAGAGCTTAACAGTGTGTCTAAGTCCCTTCCCTTACCCTTTTCTTTGTGGATACAGTCAGAGCTTAACAGCGTGTCTAAATCCCTTCCCTTACCCTTTTCTTTGTGGATACAATGCTCTCAACTTCACTTCTGTGCATTCACATCTGTCCAATTCATCCCTTCCTTTTTTTCTCCCCCACCCACAGGCCCTGTCATGAGTGATAACTCTCGCATTTCTTCAAGACTTTTAAGACCTTATTTCCTCATATTTTTCAGAAGAAAAAACAACATAAAATACATTAAGTAGGGACATATTGCAGATTACTTCTTATGGGGTAAACTATGCAACACCTAGAAAATGCAGAACTTTTGTGGCAACAATTCTAGATGCAAGGAATTCAGTAGAAGAAAAGGCACGTCGCAGAACTTTTGTGGCAAAAATTCTATATGCAAGGAATTCAGTAGAAGAAAAGGCACGTTAAACATTGGCTGAGGACCTAACAGACATCTCAGATGTCTCAATGGAGCATGCTCCATAGGAACTCATCCCTGCTGAATACACTGTGCTTCTGCATGCAAAACTCTCAGGCAACAATGATCCAAGAGAGTTCACGTAAATATGTTCTAAAGTAAATATCAGAAACCTATTTTTATAGTCGGTTCAGTAAAATAAACACTTCACATTACCAGTTTTTCCTAGTGTAAAAAAACCCAACTGGTAATAAGATAATTAGAGATTCTAAATATGAGTCTGATTTGTGATCTTTGCACAGGAAAAAAAGTGACTGATGTCATAACATACTCTACAAAGCCCCAGATGTTATAAAGATATCATAACCCTTTTGATTGTTAGGGATGGTCTTTAAATTTCTATGCTGAAGTTGAACAGAATACAAAATTACTAACAAACAGGACCTCAAATCTTTCCATGTTTTTGAAATTGCAAGAGAAAGGCATCCACTCAAAAAAACAACAGTTCACACGCACAAAAGAGAAACAGGTAACACCACAGATAACATAAATATTAAATGTAATTGGTTAAGAAACATAAAGTAAGAGTCTCCAAAACGTTTAAGATGGCTTTGGAACCATTAAAAAATAAAAACAGAACAGAACACATTCTGGGACAAAACATTCTATTCAGCAATAAAATCACAGATCCATCTAATAGAAATCAAGTGGATAATATTCACCCAACTGTAAAAGCTTTTACTGCTGCCTGTTGCGTCTGTTCAGTCATACATTCTGTGGTATAACCACACACTCTACACAGCTGAAATAATCCGAAGCCTAAATCTATAAACAGATCTAACTGAAAAAGGCCAGAATAGGACCTCAATACGCCATCTTTTTCCAGACCAAAGAGAGCCATTTTTTATTGTCCTCCATAGATGGCGTTTCCCAAATTCGTCATTTGTGTTATTCTTTTCGTAAGTTTATTTACCTTTTTCTTAAAAGCGGAGCGACAAAACTTAACACAACTACACAGCTAAGGACCTTTAGTGCTAAGTGGAGAGTCGTGATGTCTCCCGTTTCACACGTCAACCATAAACACGCCCCTGAGTGGTGTTTTGCCTTTTTTTGCCAAAGCACAAATACCAAGTCATTCCGAGCTCCACTGTGGCCTCCGGACTCTCTTAGATCATAACGTCTCGGCCTCGGCATCCACTTTTTCACACTGTCAGTTCGGGACTTTCGCCTCAGTTTCCCACATCTCCAAAGAACACAACTTCCCTCCGGACTCCCAGCACCCGCGGTTACAAACCCAACTTCTTATTTCCTCACTCTCGGCGGGAACGGCGACTCCAGCGAGGACCGGGCCCGGCGCGGGTCTCTGCAAACTTCTCCCGGAACACTCAGCTCGTCTGACGGCACACGGTGACGACTAAAGACCCGCACGGGAACAGAACCCATGTTGTCATATCCATGACGAAGGCAGGGCATGTGCTCCATCCGATGCTTCTCCTTTCAGCCTCCGAACATAGGGCCCTCCCGGGACGTCAGGCTCCCGTGACACTGTCGCTCCAG